TAGAAATAGGAGAAAGAACTTGAGTGAATGCTAAAAATGTTTATGATGTTTGAAATAATATCTTTGAAAACTCCCCCTTGCATAATATGGAATTCACTAGTTGCTGAAAGAAAATAAAATGCATTTATGATCGTACAGAGTCTGGATATCTCTCGTTTCGTGGAATGGAGTCATTTTAGCTGATGATATTGAGAGCTTAAATTTTATTAACTGAGACAGTTGTTTTAAGAGTCTTGTGCTTGTACCTCATTATTTTGAATTTTTTGGGAGTCAGATTCAAGGGTCCAAATTTGACCCAGAAGGTGAGTATGTGAGACACTGGCTGCCTGAGCTAGCTAGAATGCCGACTGAATGGATCCATCATCCTTGGGACGCACCCGTTACTGTTCTTAAAGCTGCTGGGATTGAGTTGGGATTAAACTATCCGAAACCCATGATAGACTTAGACTTAGCGAGAGAACGTTTAACCCAAGCAATATTCAAAATGTGGGAAATGGAAGCTGCAGCCAGGGCTACAAACTCAAGTGAGACAAATGAAGTTGTTATCGATAATTCTGATTGTATTCAAACTTCTGCCATTCAAAAAGTTGCCACAAGGGAAAAGACTCCTTGTCCTACTATTTCATCTAATGATCAGAGGGTGCCCTCATTTCAAATTGGCAAGAATAGTCCGCCTTGTAGGAAGAGACCAAAAGATGTGGAAGAAGAAAGGCCATACCAAAATGAAATGCCTAATCACAACAAGAAAGCTGGGAACGCAAGAGCGGATGAAGATTTGTGCTCCACAGCTGAATCTTCAGCAGCTAAGAAGCAGAGCACAAGCAACATTTCTTTTTCTGTTCCCCAGTCTTGTTCTTCATCAGAAGTCAAGCCTTCACCGGAGTATGAGTCTTCTGAGCTCAAGCGACCATGGCTAGCACAAATTGACATGGAACAGAGTTCAGGCAAAGGAGGTAAGTAATCACAGTTACTTTGCCATTTTAAATTTTAGGTTTCCCAGAATTTTCAAATTCTTTATCGTACATGGGAAGCTGCAAAACTTGAGTCCATTGGTCTTCTAGTGATCCTACTACATGACATTAAGACTAACCAGAGGGCCTGGAATCTCATCAAAGGTAAGATTTTCAACATATTCGACTCGTTTTGATTTAATGTATGTATGTAAAATCTAATGAAACCTAAAATAGTTCAAAGATGTAGACAAGCGCTGTCTTGATGTTACCAAGTTTCAAATTGAAAAGGAACTTTTTATTGTAAATAAGTGGAAATCGGCTCAATTGCAGCTGGATTTTGCTGAAACCTCATCCCACTATAAATATAATTACTCTAGAGAACAACGAAGCGCCTTTTGGATGCTTTCTCTACTGTTTTGGTTGAACATCACTAGAATTCAGCATCCGAACACAATTTGTTTAAGTATTTTTGCATTAACCTATTCAAAATATACATTTGTTTTCCCATTCTGAAAATATTGTTCTATTTTATTTAATTATTTTTAAACCTCCTAGGTTTGTTAGTTTAACTAAACACCCTCCCAAAAAAAGTTTTAGAAATTGACAGAAAATAACCCTATCCACTCACATTTGCCAGATTTCGACCATCACCACCGGTAGGTGGTTGGAATCTGATATAATGGTGCACTATCACTGGATCTAATCTGACCAATAGTGCATTGATCTAACCTTTTTTGGTTAAATCTACCGTGAATTTGATCGAAAAATGCTAGATCTTTGGCCGTAACTAGTTGTCAACGACGGTCATATCTTTGGCTGTCGTTGATGATCAAATGCGGCCAAATCTACGGTGAATCTGGCTAGAAAATGTCATATCAATACACTACCAGTCAAATCCAGTCGATCGTATGTCAATACAGCGACTCCGATCACCCTTTGGCAATGGTGGCAAGCTGCAGGTATTTAATAGGTGGATGAGAGTGTTTTTGTTAATTTTCAATGTTTTATTACATGAGTGTTTAGTAAATTAACAAACTTAGGAATGTATTTTTGTTAATTTTCAAATCTTATCTCGTAATAACTACCAAACTCTTATTTTTTCAAAAATCCAACCAAAATAATAAACAAACACACCCAAACTTACCTACTCTGTCTGTCTTGAGTCAAATTTGTTTAAACAAAACTTGTAAGGAGTAGAGAGGTGGAGATAATTATTGTGATTATAATTTTGGATTAATTAGAATGATGTATTGTTTAAAACAAAGCTGCCCAAGGTTACAACATTATTAAATCTACTGATATTTTCCATCCATGATCGACATAATAAGAGACGAGGTCATATAAATAAATATAGTACTATAATTGAATGACTCATCATCAAACTTATTCGATTCTATTTGTTTAATTAAATCAGATATTTGTTCATTCAACCAAAATCAACTGTCTTAGAGAGATCAATATAACAAGAGACGGATTTGAAATTGTTTTTGCTAACCTTAAATTTCCAAGAAGCCAAACCAGATTGAATTTGTTTGTATGTGGATCACTTAATTTGTTTCTTGCTCTTGCTTTGGTTATGAATGAGAAACGTAACCACCCAAAACTCCATAGAATCTATGAAGCAAGTTGGTGATATAAACAAGATATGAAACTAAATCGTTTCCCCATCCAAAAGGCCAGACAAAAATTCTAACACAAAAGATACTGTTGGACCATCGTTATAATATAAAACCAGACTTTGGGTTAAATTCAAAAGAACTGTAACTGGAAAATTAGGGTGCGTTTGTTTCAATATTTTTGCACTATTCTACAAAAAATACATATTTGTTTTCCTATTCTGAAAATTCTATTATATTCTATTTAATTATTTTTAAACTCCCTAGGTTTGTTAATTTAACTAAACACTCTCAAAAAAAGTTTAAAAGTTGACAAAAACACCCTCACCCACCCACATTCACCAAATTCTGGCCACCACTGCCGATAGGTGGTCGGAATCTAGTATAATGGCACACCACCGGCTAGATCTGGCTGGTAGTGTGTCAATCTAGCATTTTCTGGCCAAACCAAAAAAGGCCAAATCTACAGCCAAAGATCTGGCCGTTGACAGACAGATCTTTGGCCGTAGCTAGTCATCAATGACAGTCATATCTTTGGCCGTCGTTGACGACCAAAGGCCAGATCTAACCGTAGATTTGACATTTTTTGATCAGATCTACGGTGGATCTGACTGGAAAATGTCATATCGGCGTACGACTAGCCAGATTCAGGTGATCATGTGCCGATATGGCGACTCCGAACACCCTTCGACGATGATAGCCAACTGTCGGTATTTAATGGGTGAGTGTGAGTTTTTTCTGCTAATTTTCAATGTTTTATTATATGAGTATTTAGTAAATTAACAAACCTAAGGGGGTGTATTATTAGTTTTTAAATCTTACCCAACTCTTACTTTTTTGAAAAATTTTATCCAAAATAATAAAATTAAGGCTCCGTTTGGTTAACTTTTTTACACTTTTTAGAAAATTTTTTGAAAAAAAGTTAAAAAAAGTTGAATTGGGCGGGTATTACGATGTAGGATTTGGAAATAAATAAAAATATCCCCTGTATTTGTTTATTTACTAAACACCCCTATAATAAAATATTAAAAGTTAACAAAAACACCTCCAACCCACCCATTAAATATGGACAGTCGACCACCACCGTCGGAGGGTGGCCGGAGTCGTCGTATCTGCGCATGACCGGCTGGATCTTGCCGGTCGTGCGTCGATATAGTCTTTTTTGGTCAGATCTAACCATATTTTCTAGTCAACGACGGCCAAAGATACGGTTGTCATTGATGGTCAACGACGACCATGTGTTGGCCATCGTTGACGACCTGCTACGGCCAAAGATCTGGCCTTTTTCGGTCATATCCATCGTGAATCTGGTCAGAAAAGACTAGATCGGTACACTACCGGTCAGATTCAGCCGATAGTGCGGTATTATACTAGATTCTGGTCATTTTCCGACGGTGGTAGCCAGAATCTGGTAAATATAGGTTGTTAGGGTTTTTTTATAATTTTTTAAAAAATATTTAGAGGTTTTTAATTAAATTAATAAATTTAAGGAGTTTAAAAAAAACTGAATAATATTTTGAGTTTTTATAATTATACTATTTAATTTTATTGGGAATACTAATAGTAGTACTTTCATAAGGGAACCAAAGGGAGCCTAAATATCTGTATTAATTTGATGAGCGGTCCAAATCTTGAAAGCACTGAGCGGTGGCGATTGTTTTCTGCTTTTTACTTTTGTACGTTAGATTGTCCGGACTCCATAGCCGTGTCATAGCCCCACTACCAAAATGATTCACAAATCTTTAACTGGCTCTTTGCTTCATTCAAAAGTCAATTAAAAAAAAGAAAATCAATCTTTACAACTTATAAATTTCTTTTGGCTACTGATTTTCCAAGGCCTTTCGGTCTCAAATTATTCTTTAAAATTCACGTTCTTTGTCTGGATATCAATGATGGCTTTCTGGATTGCCTACCGTATAAATTTGGCCATTTCATTTTATTCGAGTGATTCTAGTGCGGGCAAAAAATCATGTCATGTTATTAAATAATTTATATAAGGTAGAATAAGTTCTATCTAGAATATTCACGCGTAAAACGCAAGTGAAAATTTCAGCCAAGGAAGAAAAGCGTTTTCATCTCAACAGTGGCAACTACTGTAATTTCCACCTAAAACTTGGGCAAAGATGTTATAATTAAACGCTTCTTTAATCTTGTACGATACTCTATCGAAATACACCTGACCGACTTTCACGGAAGGACTGCAGCAGTACGGAGTCCACGTCTCAATTTCTTCTCTCACAAGTCACCTATCAACTAACATAACAATGGCAAACTCGTAATTCAAAAAACAACCGACCCTGTTTCAAATCTAACGGCTTTTTACCTCACCGTATCTCTATCTTCAACCGTTGGATCAAACACATGGTTTACGACCATTGGCCATATGTCAAAACCGAATATTCCGAAAACATTCTTTAAACCATCAGCTTAATAAAAAGTTAAAAACACCAAATCACAAGGCAAAACAAAAAAAAACACACTAATCAAGTTGACTCATGACCGAGGCGTTGAACAGAGACTACCAAGTTTGTGAAGAGATCGGCCGGGGACGATTCGGCACCGTTTTTAGGTGTACCTCACGAATCTCCGGCGAATCCTTCGCCGTCAAATCCATCGACAAGAGTTTAATCTCAGGCGACACGCTCGACTCCCAATGTCTCTTATCAGAGCCCAAAATCCTCCAGTTCCTTGCTCCAGATCATCACATCGTTCAAATCTTCGCCGTTTATGAAGACGATTATCACCTTCACATGGTTCTCGAACTCTGCGATTCACAAGATCTGTATCACCACTTAATGAACAAAGGCATTCTGTCAGAATCCGAGTCCAAATCTATAATCACTCAACTTCTTCAAGCCATTTCTCACATGCACAAGTTAGGGATTGTTCATCGCGATATAAAACCGGACAATATACTGTTTTCGTCCGGAAATGTTGTGAAAATTTCAGATTTTGGATCGGCTGAATTTTTTAACAACGAGAGCGAGGAGCTGATGAGAGGAGTGGTGGGGACACCGTACTACGTGGCGCCTGAGGTGGTGGCGGGAAGGGATTATAATGAGAAAGTGGATATATGGAGCGCCGGTGTTGTTTTGTACATAATGTTAGCGGGATTTCCGCCGTTTTACGGGGATACGGTTACGGAAACTTTCGAGGCCGTTTTGAGAGGGAATCTCCGGTTTCCGACTCAGGTGTTTCAGTCGGTTTCACCTATGGCTAAGGATTTGCTAAGGAAAATGCTTTGTAAGGAGGTTTCTAGACGATTCTCCGCCGAACAAGTGCTCCGTAAGTATACAAATTGCATTTTTGTTTTGTATAATGTGAAAATTGTAGGCTTCATTTATCACACTTTTCCTAATATTATTTTGGTTTTCTCAGTAAAGGTAAAACCCAAAAATTGCATTCTTTCAGTATTCTTAAAATCTTATTCGATTTTATTTATCTCATATGATATTAATAATTATCTTTCTCGTAAATATAATCCAATTTTATTACTCTACTGATTTATGTTTTACCTATTTTTTTTATTAACCGACTGATGAAGCAATAATTGTGCAGGACATCCATGGATAATAAGTGGCGGAGCGAATGATTTAACTTGAAGATATGGGAGAATACTAGGGCCATGTAAAAGTAAATATTAAGGTTTTGGTAGTGTATAAATTTAAAGTTCTGTAGAGTTTTTTGCCGGTTGGGAGTGCTTTGTTGATGTGTATTGTTGTGTTCAGATATGAATATGAATATAACACGTTTGCGGTGTTGAAGTTTTTTTTATTGGAATTGGTAGTCTCCGGAATCTTATCCTAATGTATCCTATTTAGTTGGGCAATTGATTGCTTTTTATCACATTCAAAGATTCAATGATTTTTCTGGAGAATAGAGTCTTATTGGGCCATTAGGCACTAGGTAAATAAAATAAATTTTATGGGCAAAGAGTTTATACAAATTAACGTTAGACGTCATATGACAATACCACTTGACATGGAAGACCATATAATTTAGGGTGTTTGTCTAAACTTATAAAAATTAATTTATAAATAATAAGTATTTATAAGTTAAAATTAACTATTTTGTCAGAGTTATGAAAATTAGTTTATAAGTAATTAGTGTTTATAAATTTTAAGTAATTATGTGTTTGGTTAAAGTATTTATAAGTGATTAATAAATAGTTGACGTGTTTGATAAAATGTAACTATATTTTATTATAAAAAGACTAAAAATGGTACTATATTAAATAAGGGTATATTATGAAATTTTAAAATTAAATAAGGATAATATGGTAATATATTTGATCAAACTAGTTTATAAGCAGTGTTTATAAGAAGAAAAAAAAGTACTTATTCCCCAACTTATTTTTTTTGTACTTATAAGCTCAAAAAAGTTATAAACAAACAGACAGCTTAATTTTAGAACTTATAAGCTAGTTTGATCAGCTTATAATCTTAGACAAACATCCCTTAAATTTTAAGCAATTAACTTATAAGCATTTGAAATTTTAAGTAATTATGTGTTTAGTTAAAGTATTTATAAGTAATTGATAAGTAGTTGACGTGTTTAGTAAAATGTGGTTTATAAGTATATTTTATTATAAAATGATTAAATAAGATATTACATTAAATAAGGGTATATTATAGAATTTTAAAATTAAACAAGGATAATGTAGTAATATACTTGGTCAAACTCTATTTATAAGCTCAAAAAAATTATAAACAAGTATGTCAACTTAATTTTAGAATTTATAAAGTAGTTTGATAAGCTTAATATCACACTGATATCATACGAGTCTTCATGTTACGTGATATTCACATAGTATATTACGTTGATTTGTATAAATTTTTTTTATATAAAAGTTTGTACAAATAATTTTATCCAAATTTGATTGGTACATTTGGTTTTATACTTTAGTGCGTCGTGGTGGTAGTGATAGTGTTAGTGGGAGGGGAGTCACTGGAGTGTTATTGAGTGAAAGAGACGAGCTCGCTGCCACAAAATACGTCTTGGGCATGTGGCACTTGAATGAAACTCATGAAAGTGTTACCAAGGAGAGTGATCCAGAACTTTCAAATTAATTTGAGGCTCTTCTTAATTTTGTTTTTTCAAACCTTTTCTATCTACAAGTGCAATCATCATTAATATTTTGGGCCCACAAAGCGAAGAACTTTGATGACAGTTGATCTCTCAAAAGACTTATCAAATCCCAATATTTGTCTGCTTATTAGAAAAACATTGCACGCAATTTCAGGAAAAAGAAAAAGGAGAGCTGGTGATCATCTCCTATAGTCCTATGATAAAGATAAAGATGTATTATATGCACCTTGAAAGCAGGCTCACTTTGATATATGGATTCGTTTGATAGTGTTATTCCTGAGAAAAAAAGGTTAATATAGAGTCATGTCAATGTCAGCGGTTTAAGCTTAAATAAGTCTTATAGTTATTTAGACGTAACCATATCACATACTACGTAAGTGATATGCTCTTTTCAGCATAGTATAATAAGTGTGTTAAACTAGTGAAAGGCTAAAGAAGATTCACATATTCAATCTTGAAAAGTTCATTAAATCACTCAAACATGTGAATAATAGGACGTAAAACAAGATTTATACCGTAATCTGACATTCTGATCCACTTTTTAATTTAGTAATCATTATCTCAATTTATCACACTATAAATAGGGAGATCCTCTCCCATTTATGGGATTAATTAATTTTTTTCTGAAATAGTATATATACTCTCTTCTCTCTCTTGTAATCTCTTGTAAGTCAGTTCGTTAAACGCGAATTGATCTCAAATATATTAATACAATACCAGTAGACGTATGATTCGTTTTCTTAAGTATTTGAATCACTTTAAACATTGCTTTTTTTTTTCTATTTAGTTTAATATCTCTGTATATGTGTGTTTTTTGAGTCAGTTTAATATTTTTTATATATATTTAATTTATGTTAAAATCAGGCATCAAAAATAGTTTTTAAACCATTGAAGTAGTTTAGTGTCGTTTGGTTTGAAATATAAGTTAAACTTTTATTGCAAGTTTAAAAATACATGAATTTTCCTTTAAATAAAAGAAATTTATTGAATTTAATTTGTTCATGATACTTGCTTTTTCCTCCTCGTAATTATAATTTAATTTGACCTGCGAAACGTGGCATCTCCAGAAAGCGTGGGTCTTCACTCTTTAACTTAATAAATTGGGCAGCTCTGATCTGATCTGAACATGGGGCTATCGAGCGTTATTGTCTTGACAAATCATAAATTCTTAAAAAGACAAAACTGACCCTATGTGTTGTGCTGGCAATCTCGTGGATATGAATTATTCTCCCATCCTCCGTACATTTTCCGTAGTTATAACTTTCTTCTACCAAATTAAATAAGCAAAAACTAGAAGGAACGTGGATTCCGTTCATGAATATTTTTAATAAATAATTCAATATCATATAAATAATTATCTTTTTAATAAAATTACACAGTGTCATTGTACACAAAGTATATCACGTTACTTTGAATTAGTTACAATTAGTAAAACATGAACTTGAAGATTGAGGAGCAGGTGTAAAAATTGATCGGTTAAAGTGCGAGTGGGTGAGAGATTGGTGTCACGGTGTACGTCCCAAAACTTTTGTAAATCGAATCAGGTGACGCGATTTCCACACTGATTGATTTATTTGAAGACTGAATTTGGGTGGCGTGGGGTCTGCTCTTCTTTACGCGTTGCAAATTTAGATGCTTGATTTTGAAACACGAATCTTCCCCAAGTTTCACATTCTTATTCTTCTTGTAAAATCCGAAATTATATTAATTTTAAATTGTTGATGCATGATTTTTATACCAACAAAATACACGTATGAAATGTTGAGTTGACCCAAAAAGTACACGTGAATATAAAAAAAATGACAATAAATGCAATGGGGACAGTTTTTAAAGTAGTTTAGATGCTAAAGTAGCAAGTCTTACATCCACTGATGCCTATATTGATGATACGGGTCATGTCGCTTTAGCTAATTGACTTTACAATGGTAATACAAGATATCAAATGCTGAAAATTCTAGAGAGAGAGAGAGAGTAGCTAATCAAATGTAAAAATATGCGAATCCCCCTCAATGAAAGAGGGGCTCTCAATTTATAGAGGAATGGATTGAGGCAATCATCACTGAATCTGTGGGTTTGTGAGATTATCCGTGCAAAATCTTTCTTTATGTCACATTACCCACCTTCTATAGAGATTTGCGCGATTTAGAGCAGGGATTGGACACGTGGGATCATCACAGCTCTTGGCTAGCCTGGCGCGCCCACACTATTCTGACAGAAGTAGGCTGCGGACGTTCCCATGATCTGACTCTTGCATGCAAACTGGACCTTACGTCAGCCCTTGTATTTTTTAGGCATAACAGAAGTCCCCTAGTTTTTAAGGTTTGAGGATCGAATCTTGGAAATTATAAGTCATGCCGTGATTGGATGATTTCTGTAGATTCTGGTGATTCCGACCTATTTGAAAGTAGGTTTGGATGGCACTTTTTGCTAACACGACCTCGCATGATCATTGTTTGCAGAGTACGAGCGACCTGATTTCGTTAGACATCACCTGTTGTGCTTTAGGGATGGATGCATTTAATGAAGTAGTCTCTACGCTGATAGATGCGTCCTGCGTGTGATAAATGCCAGCCAGACGCTTTAAATGCGTTGTACGCCAACACAGTACACTTTATCAGAGCATTAAATGCGTGGCATGTTTGAACGACGCCCCTTACCAGAGCATTAAATGCAAATTGAGGCGCAATTAATGCTCTGAGAGAGAGATGGCCGTCGTTCAAGCTTTTCAACGGGAAAGATGAAGGTTTCACTTTCTTTAATCGTGACGCTCACTCTTCCTCACTGATCTGTGACACGTGGTCGTGATCAACGGTGAGAAATTTTTGCCGCCCAAACGTCATTTTGATTCTGAGAGAAACTAACGTCGGGACATGCGCTATAAAAACTCAGACCTTTCTTAGGCAATGTCACCAGAGTCTTTTTCACATAGAGCAAGAGATTTTCGCGAGCTTGAAACCTTTGTCTTCCAAACCGTGTCTTCCCCATATTCGAAGCAGAAGCCATCTTCATACTCCGAGAGGTAAGAACCCTTCTCTGTTTTTTGTTTTCTTATTTTCCATGGTTTAATGGCGTCAGTCCTCCGGTAACCCATCAGAGACGAGGCGCTCATGTTGGGTTCAAGTCATGAATGGCGGCTCGAACCATGCTGTTAGGGTTTTCTTTGGGATTTAGGGTGTTTGTTTCCTTCCACGTCATTGTACGAAATAGCGTACGGCAGCTAAATGACCCTCCTGCTTGTCACTTTTGCAAACTGGCAGAATGGACCCCTCAACAACCAGATTCAAACAGGGAACCGGTTCGTCCCCGCAGGGTGCTCCGAGTATCCCTCCCAAGGTCTTCTCGGTACTTACCGGGGATGAGCTCGAGAGGGTAATAAAACAGTACAGTATCGAAGTGGACGTTTTCCTCGACGTGGCACACTCATCGCGCTACCTGTTAAGTGGTCTGGCTGCGATCTCCGAGGAGATCATCAAGGGCGGGGGATTGATCCCCCTACACCCTTTTATTAGGTCACTTTTGGACCACTTCGGGATAGCACCGATGCAGCTCACTCCGAACGCGTATGTGATTGCTGTCGCAATATACATCGCGTGTCGTGAGAATGGGCTAGGCGAACTGACGGTTGTGGAGCTCGGCTGCTCGTATTTTTTGAAAAAGAGCAAGGACAAGGATTCTTATTACTTGTCCAGGCGACCTACCATAGTCGATGGGATACATAGCTACCCTAGCAACGCCGGGGCCTATGAAACAAAGTTTTTCTTCTTTCGTTATGACGGCCATTGCCGTTTTCAGGAACCGAGTAGGTTCTTTTCCCTTGGCGAACTCATTAAATTTGGAATGCGTTTTCGTTCTAACGACCTGATTCCTTTCTGACAGTTAACAAGACGACCGACTTAGGGCTGCTCTTTAATCCGACTAGGATCGTGAATTTCGACTTCCTACCAGAGGACAGACGCGACGCGAAGAAGCTCGTGACGATCGCAAATCTGCGAAAATACTATTTCTTCAACGCAAACATGTCTCTAGAGTCCCCATTGAGTAAGTCTTGCTAATTGGTCCTTCTCTGGTCATGAAATGAAATACTTTGCTAACAATGCTTATATTGATGATACGGGTCTGGTCGCTTTAGCTGACTGACTTTACAATGGTAATACAAGGTATCAAATGTTGAAAATTCTAGAGAGAGAGAGAGAGAAAGTAGCTAATCAAATGTAAAAATATGCGAATCCCCCTCAATGAGAGAGGGGCTTTCAATTTATAGAGGAATTGATTAAGGCAATCATCACTGAATCTGTGGGTTGGTGAGATTATCCATGTAAAATCTTTCTTTATGTCACATTGTCCACCTTCTATAGAGATTTGCGTGATTTGGAGCAGGGATTGGACACGTGGGATCATCACAACTCTTGATTGGCTTGACACGCGTTCACTATTCTAACAGATGCAGGCTACGGGCGTTCCCATGATCTGACTCTTGCATGCTAACTAGATCTTATGTCAGCCCTTGTATTTTTTAGGCATAACAAAAATATACCTAAAATTGTAGTTAATGACACAAAATAATGCGAAAGTAATTGCCATATGTAATAAACATCGCGGATATTACTTGAAATAAAAACTGTTGAAATACCAAATTGTGGTTTTACATTTAAAATTTAAAAGAAATCCAATCCCGCCAATGAAGACAATTGATGTAGTCCACATGTCTTCTTTTTAATAACTAAGGTATTTATGTTGGTTTGCGTGCATCTTTAATGAAGTCGTTTTGTAATAATAAATTAGGGTTTGTGTTGGGTCTTTATTAATTTGATATCCACGGGTTAGTTGGGACCCCAAGTTGGGTTTGGTCATTTGTCGAATGAATGTCAATTCATTGAGATGTGATGTTAAACTACCTTTTCCTTTGGATGCTATAAAATACAAGCATGATTTATGGTAGACTATTGTAATTGGACATAGAATTTGTGAAATCACAAATACTTCTTGTTGACTGTTGTTTTTGGGCGAAAGCAAACTAGTGACTAGCTCAGACTCCTGTGCTGGGGGGTCTGAATCGTGTCTTCGGGTCTGGATTTTGCAGTCTTGCTTGGTCAAAGACTTTGAATGCTCAATTAATCAAATCTAAATCACGTGTTGTGATTTTATTAGCGTATAATCGTCATAAGATTAAACTTTATAGTGGTTGTATACTCGTTTCCTTTCTAATCTCTCCTGGGCGAGAGTAGATCAAATTATTGCTCATAAGCTTTTGGATGATGAGGATTAGCCTTTGGCAATGAGCTTTTAGGTGACGAGGAGAGCTAGCCGTGAGCTCTTAGGAGATTAGCTGCTAATAGGCTATCAAGCCTTTATTAAGGATGATGACTATTTCGACAATAAAATCATCACCTTGGACACACGTCAACATTTTCTCCGGCCACGTGTGTAACTTAATTTTACCCGTAACACTTTTGATTAAATTTTTCTTGAAAACAATTTATGGAAGAAGAAAAATGTTTTCTCCTTTATTTATTAACAACTAAGAATACCGCCAACACTTGAAGTTTGATTTTGTGCTGCTTGTGACTTTGTAGAAAATATGCCACGAAATAAGAGATATCGTCGAGTGATAAAAAAGATATTATTCCCAAAACTTACTTAAATTTTACATCCCAAAATAATGTGTGTCATTGACTTATAAATAAAGTGATGATCATTGAATAATATGAAAATGCTAAACCATAAAGGCCCATTTGCATCTGCCAGGAACCCTAAAGGCCCAATGGCGTATTTTGATTTCATATTGGACTGAGTGCCCAAATATGAAATCTTAGGCCCGTTCTCAAGTTTATTTGTCAATGTAGCCCATCACGCTGCACGCATAAGAACTGAGCTGTCGTATATGATGTTAGGTCTACTCAAATTGTGGTCATTCCATTGACAATTTCAATCTTACTGTGCTCAAACAACTCAACCACAATAGGTTTAGATATTTCAATTTTGAATTTTTGGAAAAAATAGTATATCAGTACGCAAGAGCTCACGACAAAACCTTTTACATTATTGATTAGTTTTCCTTATTTATCTTAGTAGCTAAGAACTGTGCAATGTAAGGCTCTACCTCTTTGGAGTAGTTGCCTTCCAATTGACGACAATGAAAATTGTCCTTACTACATGCGATAAATAGAAGGCAATTATCATGTAGGACACCCTGATTTTAGGCCTAACCTTTGTGACATTTTGATTTTTTATTTTTGTTTACACACTCTGTAGGTTAAGCAGTCACCATCTTTGTAACGTCATTTGATGTCAGGTTGCCAACATGATTGTCCTTGATATTGAAGCTGTTGGGACAAACAGTAATTTACATATTTTATGTAACCTTTCAATCGCCTGGCAATCACATGTTGGATCCATGAACAAGAATAACAACAATGGAGATTTAATTATGACAAGAAACCATAAAACTGATAACTCCATTTTACTAATTCAACTGTTAAAGGAAAATTAAGAAGGCATAACTTCAACTTAAAACAAAGACTAAAGAGCAGAAAACAATTAGGATGTTGTATTACAATTAGAAGGCCTAATTAAACTGGAATGGTTCTTTCTGTTCCATTCTCTTCCTCTGCTTCACCTGACATTTCTTCCAATGATTTTCCTTTTGCTTCAGGAACCAAGAATGTAAAAAACATACCTAAAAGGTTTACCACACCTAGAATTATAAGTGCTCTTTTAACTCCAGTGTCCGCTAAGTATAAGAAACCAAATGCACCCACCATGGCACCGGCTTTCCCAGATGCAGCTGATATTCCATGGCAAGTTGACCTTAACCTGGCAGGAAATATCTCTGCAGGAACAACAAATGTGGTGGCATTTGGACCGAAGTTCGCGAAGAAGAATGTGAATGAGTAAATCACAACAAACCCAATTCTGTTGTCTGGTAGAGTCCAGTGATGATAAGGAATGGCTAGAGCGAACATGAACACTGTCATGAAGAAGAAACCCATCAATTGGATTGCAAACCTTCCCATCTTATCAATCAATGCCACAGTGAACCAATAACCAGGAACTGTGCTGCAAAGAGCTATGAGAGTTTGTGCTCTACCAATTTTATAAACTTCCTCGAGGGCGTTCATGGTTTCAGCCTTAGGAATCCAACCAATGGCACTGAAAATGTCCTTTTGGAATAGATTTTGACTGTAGAAGGCAATATCCAACAAGAACCAAGTGCTTGTAGTTCCAAGCAAGTGGAGTCCATGGCGTCGAACAAACTGAGAACTGAACAAACCAAAATCATTTCCTTTATCATTAGAAATTCGTTCAATTTTCCCCTGTTCAGCTTCGAGATCAACCTGAAGAACTTTCGACATGTCAGCTGCGGCCTGTTTCGCATTCTTAGCAACCAAGGCAGTGTAACGAGCAGTCTCAGGCATCTTCATACGCCAGTAGTAAGTAACCGCAGCTGGAACTGCACCAAACATCAAAATTATACGCCAAACATAATCAGCTTCAGGCCCTGTTGATCGAATTGCATCCACAGCATAAATCGGTGCAGGGTATTGGGCCTTAAAAGCTGCAGCAACTATAATTGCAACCATTCCAACCGCCAAGATTCCGAAACCTTGCATTGCAAAAACAGCAGCAATGAAAGCACCACGAGTCTTTTTGTTGGCATACTCGGACATAATTGTTGCAGACAAGGGATAGTCACCACCAATGCCAAAGCCTAGCCAGAAGCGAAAGAAGCAAAGTGTAGCCATAACACCTTTGGGGTCTTTACCAAAGGAAAGACCAGAAGCGATTGAACAAAGGACCATGAGCATAAGAGTCATGCCATAGACACGTTTTCTGCCCATTTTGTCACCGAGCCAACCAAAGAATAGCTGGCCTGAAAGAGTACCACAGAATGCAACACCATTAACGGCTGCAGCTACATTCGACGGGAGAGAGCCGGGCTTGTGGGAGCCTTCCTCGTGGTAGTATATGCGGCCCAGCAATTTTGTGACAAGAGATATGCAAAAGAGATCATATGCATCTGTGAAGAACCCCATGCCAGCAATCACAATTGCGGTGAAGTGATACCACTGTGTTTTAGCAACATCAAGTGCATTAAGCACTTTCAACTGCTCCCCTGCCATGTCTAAATCTTATCACAAGCTTTTGCAATCTGTTGTTTGATTTTCCCTGAAAAAAAGAACTGGAATTGATTATGTCGGTGTGTTGTTAGATAACCAAAAAATAAAAGATATTAACCTTAGAGTGCACCTCCGTAGACTTAAGGAGTCAATGGGTGACTGTGATTCACCCGAGTTAAATTATTCTACCAACCAAAAGAGAACAGATCATTTGAGAAGAAGACAAAAAAAAAAAAGCCAGTTTTTTGGCACAGCCCTTGTGAGCATCAAGTTTGAGGCCCATTTGACAAACCAATTGCTTGGGTAGATAATGACAAATGAAAACGAACATTAGAGATATTGACTGAAAGCGTAGAAAAGTCTAAGCGAGATGTTTTAATAAAGTGATACTAAAATAACAATAACACAATTATTAATAAAACTTTGACAAGATGGTAAACAGACCAAAAAACAAAAAACAAAAAATCCCAAACAATTGCAAGAGGATTGCGCATGGATTAGTAATCAAGAAAATACAGAGTGTCTATCTGCCTCAAATATTGGACACTTAAAATATCATGGGAAGTAACCGGAGAAGGTTGTTTGTTCCTTCAGTCGTCATAACTCTTGGTTAGATACAAAGGAATCGTGAGGGAAACACAATCTTGACATGTATGATTCATGACTAAAGATCTCTGTTTACAAGTAAACCATGACCACAAAATATACAAATTCCAAAATTAAACATGGAAACACCTCAACTCAAACAAAAGTGCAGAGGCAAGATGAATAAATAATCTGATTATCGAACTCAATATAATAGAACTACTTTTGACGGTTGAGTTTTTCTTTTAAATTTGCTGGTGCCCCATAAAAGATATTCTAGACCTAAGTATCAACGCAAAATATCAAGTTAACGAACAAGAGAAGAATCAAATGTATTAAAAAGAGATTCAAGTCTTCAAACAACGAAAAACTGATAGTAATCTCTGATTACAAATAAAGAAATCTGAGGCTACCATAATGTTAGGAAGATAAAAAATCCCTCAAAACAAAGATAAAAAACATAATTAAACTGCATGAACACGTACCTTGATCTTATGGAGGGGGAGTATTATTATCTCTCTGAGAGAATAGAAAAGAGCATATATATGATAGGAGGAAGAAACGTTGCGTTGGTAATATAATGTTGTTAAGGAGATAGAGTTTTGATGAGGTTCAAAGAGACAGACAGAGAGCGAAGTTTGGAGAGATAATGGAGGGAAAGAGAAGCTGGTTGGTTCCGTATTTAACTGCAACGGACCCTCTCTCTTTCACTATTTTACTCGCCTTGTGTTTTAGAATCTTCTATTTTTACTCAGCATATTCTCTCTTTTTTACTGGCGTGCGTTTCTCCTCTTTAATCAATTTTTCTTTTTATTTTTGTTATCTTATCTTAATTAGATTTTCTCTTGATTTTTTTCCATTTATTTAACTCCGTCATTATCGGGCTCACGAATTTTTAGTTAAAGGATATTGTCTCTACCTTATAAACTGTTCCTTTTTTGTTTTAACTACTCTGTAACAATTAATTTATATTTATAGTATCTCCAATAATACTCTTTATTTTGAAAGACATCTTTTGTATAAATAAAAAATATATTTATTAATTTTTAAATATAAAGAACATAATTTTTATTCAAATCCAATAGACTCTTTAAATTTAATAAAGATGCTCTTTATTTTTAAGAAAAAGACTTAATGAGAGAAAAAATTAATAAATAAAATACATAAGAATTTACAGTTTATTAATTAAAATTAGGATAGAGAGTAAAATTTAACTCTCTAAATGTGAAGAGTCAAACTCACTCTTTAATTTATATTTTAAAGATAAAGAGTATGTTGGACTCTTGTTTTTATAGATAGACTCTTTATAATAAAGAGTTTAAGTCATATAAAGAGTCATTTGGAGATGTTCTTAGTATTTTATATAAATTATTCCTCTTTATTTTCATAACTAAAGCATTTTTCTCTTGCTTTTTTTTTTTTTTTTTCACAAAATAAAAACCTCGAAACTTTAAAATCATGTACGACTGGGACAAGCAATAAAGAAAAACAGCCTTGGGGTTACATGGTTTATGTATGTCCCAATATAAAGTAAATTAAATACGACATTATGTTGATATTGATCTGTATACATTAATTTCGATAATGAACGGTAATCTCATATAAATACTCTTAAATTATTATTATAAAACTAAAAAGAAATCATTGATTACCGATTCATCGAGTAAATTGTTTTTATTGTACAAGTTAAATATAACTATCTTTAGGTAGTTGAGTGGTTCAATAAGGACTCTTGAGATATTACCTTTGAGAGATATTGAGTTCAAATCTTTTTTTTGAATGTTAATAGAGATAGTCATGAGAGATCTCTTGAATCTCTTAATTATGTCAGTTATAAATTATATACGATTGTATTTGATATAATTAAAAAATTATATAATTTTTAGAATATTATAAGATTGTATACTTGTGTAACTAAAGGATTATAGAAGATTTACAAGATTATAAAATATTTACGAAATCTCAACAATTGTATGGAGGAGCATTGAAGATAGGTGGCGGGGTGAGGTTCATAAATGTTAATTTTGATATTGCCAGCTGGATATTCAATTAGCACTATAGTCAATGGGTCAACTTATATATATACATGAAAATGGAAAACAAAGAAATAATTACCAGCCTCTTTGTTTGGATATTATCCAGTATCCACAGTCCACACCCACCTCATTTATTTATGGAAGGTTGACTTGGTAGCGAGCTTTTAATTTACTTTTTATTAATTTTTTCTCACAAACAGTATGTGACTAGATTACATTTAATAGTCTCGTCTATCTAATAATATATTACCTGATTAAACAGACTGCAACTTGTCACGTGAGATTAGTGAGAAGTAATAATAAGACTAGGAATATCCTTTAATTTTATGGGTTAGTTTATTATTATCTGTATGTACACCATAATTAAGGCATTCACGATCCTGTTGCGGTCAAAGAATATAGTCGAATCAAAATTCGTTTAACAGGGAAAATTAATTAAGGATTGTGTCAGTCATTTATGATTTTGTTTAACTAATAATTATGATAATTAAATGAGTTTATAGTAAGAGAATGAATGATGATCAACTTTTTTTTTTTTTTTTCCTTTTTTTTATATTTAAAGGCGTCTAGACTAGTTTACATACATCTCAACTAATCTTTTTAGATCCTAAAATTAATAGTTAGATAAACCTTCAGTAACGACCCCTTATTAGTAGTCATAAGAATTCAAACTCAGAACTTCTTAAGTAATACATCCAGTGGCGGATCCAGCCACATTTTGCCCACCCTCAAAATTTTTTTTTTTAATATTAATAAGTAAATTTATATATTTTGGCCTACCCTAAAAAAAATATTAATGGACAAAAATAGTAATGTATAATAAATTTTTATTTTGACCCACCCTAAAAGAAATTCCTGGATCCACTACTGAATACATCCAAGAGTCCCAAACAAACCGTCAAACAACCTAGACATGGGTTCAATTGAACCCACTCAATGTTTAAAAAGTTTCAAAAAAGTATTAATGTTTTATAAATTTTATAATTTTAACCCCACTTAATTTCATATTGACCCCACAACATGAATTATTAATTAACACTTTTTTAACTTTTCTCATTTCTTCATTTCCTCTCATTTTCTCTCAAATTATATTTTTTCTTTGGGTAGATGCTCAAGAAAGGCTATTCCTTTGGATTATAAGGTACAGTGATGATCATTTTATTTTTTATTTTTCACTTAAAATTATTTTTTTTTAGCTTTCTTAACTGATGAAAGATCATGAGCTCTGAGTTTTTGTTGAGTTTAATAAATGATTTGAAATTGCAAGATTAAATTACTATATTTTGACGTGAATTGTGATTTAATCTTGTTTATGTTGAAGTATGAGTTAATTAGTTATTGTTTTAAATTGAGTTTGATAAATTTTGGTTAGTTATTGAGATAATTTTGAATGGTTTAAAAAATTGATGAAATCCTAAGTTGTAGAGATTTGGGGATTATGTAACGTTTTTAGAATATGAAAAATTATCGAGGGCAATTGTAAAATTGATAATTTGGTATATATAACTTTTAAAAGTATATTTTTATACTTATTACTTCATTATATATTTTATTGTAAATTTATCAACTTTGATGTTTTTGAACCCACTAATTTAGAATCCTGACTACGTTCCTGTACCCAAAGGTAGTCAATGGTGATCAACTTGAACTTCAGGGAATAATGCATGCTGCGAAAATGCACAAAAAGGCTGATGCTTCCTATCGGAGTAGCACCACCAATAAATCCATTTACATTCATTGTTCTGAACTCGATCTCATCAAGTTAGGCCAAGTTCCAATACAAATTTCTTTTGGGATAGGACCAAAGCAAAGCTTACCTCAACCATAAATAGTCGTTCAGAATTTGTACTTTAACGATCGTTTTTCTTAATGGTTATGAATTAATTAATTTGCTAATGTTCTGTATTCAAACTACATTTCTAAAAATTACATATAGTAATACAATAAAAAAACACAAGTGAGCAAATCTACCTTTCCTGACTGGGAAACAGAATCAGCAGAAAAAAAAAAAAAAAAAAAAGAGTATAAATTAATGGGAGTCGGCTGACAACTTCTAGAGGCTAAGGTGAGTTTATTTTACATTGGATTTGGATCCACAGAGCAGACTAGATCTGTCTCCTTCCCCCACCACTCTAAAATCACCTTTGCCCAAGAGATCAACTCACCACACCACTCTTCATTAAAACACAATCCCACTTCAATTATTTCTAATGATTTTTGTTAATGCGTGATTTTTACACCAACTAAACACACGTGTGAAATACTGAGCTGGCTTAGAAGACACACGTGAATATAAAGGAAAATGAGAGTAAATACAATGGAGACAACTTTTAAAGTGGTTCGGATGCTAAGGTAGCAAGTCCTACGTCCACTAATGTTTGTATTAATGATAAGGGTCAGGTCGCGTTAGCGGATTGACTTACAAGTGGTTTACAAATGACTCACAAAGTGATAGTACAAGAGAGAGAATGCTATATATTCTTGAGAGAGAATAGCTAATCAAGAGTAAAAATGAACGAATCCCCTGAATGAGATGAACTCTCAATTTATAGTGGGATACATTGAGCTAATGATTACTGGATCTGTGAGTTGGTGGCATTATCCGTGCAAATCCTTCTTTATGTCACATTGCCCACCTTCTTGAGTGATTTGCACGATTTGGCGCAGGGATTGGACACATGGGATCACCACAGCTTCTGGCTGGTCTGGCGCGCACCCACCCACTATTCTGACAGAAGCATACTGCGGGTATACCCATTTTCTGACTTTTGCACGCTGATTGGACCTTACGTCAGCCCTATATTTTTCAGGCATAACAGAAGTCCCCTAGTTTTTAAGGTTTGAGAATCGAACCTTGGAAACTAAAAGTCATACCACGATCGATGATTTCTGAAAATTCTGGTGATTTTGACTTGATTGAGAATAGGTCGGGGTAGCACTTTTTGCGAACACAACCTCGCATGGTCATTGCTTATTAAGGATGAACGACCTGACTTCGTTAGGCATTATCTATTGTACTTTTGATACAGGTGCATTTAATGAATCAGTCTCTACGCTGACAGACGTGTCCTATGCATGATAAGTGTCAACCAGGCGCATTAAATGCGTTGTATGCTGACACAGTACCACTTTATCAGAACAATAAATGTGACATGCCAAAACGATAACCCTCATCAGTGCATTAAATGCGGATTGGGGCGCAATTAATGTTGAGGGAAAAAGAGTGCTGTCGCTTGAGTTTTTCAACGGAAAAGATGAAGATTTGATTTTCTTCAATCGTGGTGCTCACTCTTCCTCACTGATCTGTGACACGTGGTCGTGATCAATGGTGATAAATTTTGCTGCCCAAACGTTGTTTTGATTCCGAGAAAAACAAACGTTGTTTCGCGTGCTATAAAAACTCAGATCTTAGGCAATGTCACCACACTCGTCTTTTTCACAAAGAGCAAGAGATTTTCGCAAGCTTGGAGTCGTTGCCTTTCAAACCAGCGTTTTTCTGATATTTGAAGCAGAAACCATTTTTGTACTCCGAGAGGTAAGAATCTTTCTCTATTTTTTGTTTTCTTATTCCCATGGTTGGTAGATGGCGTTAGTCTTCCGGTAGCTAATCGGAGATGAGA